AGTACTCTATTCTCAAATAAAAAGAGACATTTCTTTGTAGTAGGGGGTTGTGGGCATCACTCCAATTTCCTTCCATTTTTTAAGTTTATAATCCTTTCAAATTTTAGATTATTAGTGACAAGCATTTTTTCTCCTTTTCCTTTCCCTCTCTTACTTATTTTAACTATTTAAAATAAGGTAACTATGATTCATTTACTTTCTTTTATAAACCATTATTTATTTTCCTTTCTTCTTTTCCTTTCCTGTTTAATCCAAACAGACCACTGTAAAGAAAATCTAAGTGCAATATGAAGATATAATAACATTAACAAAAAAAGAATTCTTTAACCTATGCCTTTTAGAGTAAGATTAAAGATTTATTTATTATATTTTATAGCATAAAATTATATAAAGATAATAAAAGTTATATTAAAATTTATTAACTATCTAATTGAAATGCTACTTGTAATATGAGTATTGAAAATAAAATTTAATTTTATATTTTTTTATACAATAAATAATTACAAAATAAAATAAATATATTTTAACTAAAACATAAATTAAAAAAATCTTTTAAAAAATTAAAATTAATAATTGGTTAGATAAACCGTACATCCACTTATAAACTGTTTAGCTGGATTAAAGTATGCATTAAAAAATCCACTTAATTAATAAAGAAAAAGAACATGCATGAAGTTGGCAAAATCAGAAGAAAAAGAAAGAAAAAAAATGAACGTGGGATAAAAGAGTTGGTGTTGAACCAAACAAGTCAAATGGTATTCACCAAAAGGAAAAAAAAAGAAGTTAATTCAATGGTTAGAGTCGTTAGACATAATACAAGTTCGAGCCATTTTTAAATGACGCGTTTGACAATTCAGAAAAGGAGGCGCTTTATTTTTTATTTTTTATTTTTAATATTTTGCCATCGAAAAGGAGACGCTGCGCGAGCCAATCTGGCTTTCGAAAAAGGACCACGAGTTCGGCGTTGTGTATTCTGTTTTTCTGTATGTCTGTGGGTGATTACTATGGGTTGGAATAAATATATTATTTTATCTAATTATTGTATAAAAAAATATAAATATTAAATTTTATTTAATTAATTATTTTTTTAATTTTAGTAAAACTTGTCATATTATATAGATTTAGTTATATAATAATATTATTGAATTAGTTAATATATATAATATCATAAATTTTAAAAAAATAAAAACAATTAATTATTAAATAATATAAATTTTATGTTTTAATATTTTAAATAATATGATTTATATCATGTCATTATTCATTAATTATTGTAATGATCTTTTACAATAAGGGTAAAATAAAAATAAATATATTAAATAATAATTTAAAAAAAATGAATAACTAAATTTGTATACCGAAATAGGAAATTAGATTTATTAAAGTTGACTGAAAGGAGTAACTAAGATTTCATTTTACATGATTGTGGTTTTGTTTTTCATATATTTAATAATTGCTACTATATTTAGAGGAAAGGATGCGGATCAATTCTGACACTAAAAAATTAATAGAATTTCAATCTTAAATAACTTCATTTTA